AGGATCTCTAACTACTCTATCATATTGTCTCAAAAATAATTTTGCCCAGGAGAACGTTGCACACGGTAACAACCACATTGTGCGATGACTAATATTGATAGACTTAACCCTTCTCAGCAATGCAAGGATCTAAGACATCTCCAAAGGCCTTATGATGGAAAATGCTATCCACATCCAAAGAAAGAAATATGGAGCTTGAATGCAGATTGAGGCACACTATTTACTATTTTTTTTTCCTTCTGTTGTGTTTTGTTTCCTCTTTCTGGTGGTTCCTCCTATTGGTTCTAATTCTTACCTTCAACATCACTAATGTGAAAATCTGTTTAATAGGAATATATATATATATATATATATATATATATATATATATATATATATATGTATAGCTTATATCAGATTGCATGCTGTCTTGGGGAGGGAGGGAGGAAGTGAGGGGGAGAAAAATTTAAAACTCAAAAGTTTAAGGAAGTGATTGTTGATAATTAAAAATAATTTTTAAAAATTTTTAAACGATTTTTCCATATTTGCTTACCATTATTTTTCAATTTCTTTTTCTTTATCTTATTGTAATAGTCATCTCCTATCCCCTAGCACTATAACTAGTATTTCTAGAACTGTATCAAACAATAGTGGTGATAATAGAATTCTTACTTTACCTTTATCTTAATGGAAAGATTTCTGATGTTTTTCCATTACAGATAATGCTGGCTCTTGGTTTTATATAGTTTCTATTTACCATATTAAAGAAAGATCCATTTATTTTTAAAGTTTTAGCAGAATTTGATGTATTTTGTCAAAGGCCTGTTCTATATCTATTGATACACTAATGTGATTTTTATTATTTTTGTTATCAATTATGCTTATAATTTTCCAAATATTAATCCAATCGACCATTCATGGTATAAATTCAACCTGGTCATAATGCATAATCTTTTTTATTATGTTGCTATAGATACTTTGTAATATTTTATTCAATATTTTTGGTCTATAAATTATTAGGGATTTTGGTTTATTTTCTTTCTCTGCTTTATTTCTTCCTTGTTTAGTATCAAGATCATATTTGTTTCAAAGAAAAAGTTTGGTTGGATTCTTTCTTTTCCTATTTTTTTTGCAAATAGTTTATGTAACATTGGGAATGATTTTTTTAAATGTTTGATACAATTTACTTATAAATCTGTCTGGTTCTGGTTTTTTTTTTCTTCAAGAGATCCTTTGCAGATTATTCAATTTTCTTTTCTGGTGTTGGATTATTTAAATTCTCTATTTCTTTTTTTCCTAATCTGTATGTTATACATATTTGGGCAAAATAAATTATAATACTTGTTTATTCTTCATTTGTTGTAAATTCTTTTTTTTTTTAAATAATGGCAATTTGGACATCCACCTTTTTATGGTGGGATTTTTTTTGTTTTTTAATTTCATTTTTTCAGCCTACTTTCTGACTTCAGACTTTATATTAGGACCAAGCTCTGTGTACTTCTGCAGTGAATTTCTGGGCTGGTCCTGCTGCTGTTTTCTTGGGGTAGTAAGTATTTTATTATTCCAGGTTCTGAAGGACAAGCTTAGGCTTTCAATTTCCCTGAATGGTCTGATTCAGGTCTGGATCTGATCTGGGTTTGGTTCTGAGCAACAGTTGACTGTTGCATGACTCAATCACTACCAGCCAGCTGTAAAATTTTGCTAGTTCTTAGTGACAAGAACTATAGGCTTCCCTTTAGTCTGGGATTTTCTCAGCAATCTTTAGATTGGGTTAGAATCTCCCTCTACTACTGAGGTCTAAGCAGAAATGTGTTGGATCCAGCTCATATCTGCTCTGGAGAGTCAATTTTTAGATTTTCAGTGTCAGCATTTATACCTCAGAAATTGGCAAATACTACAAATTTGAGCTTGATTTATTGTTTAGTTGATTGTCTAGACTTAAGAAAGTGATGGAGAAAATGTTAATAATGCAGACTGAATTTTAAATTATATTGTGAATACACTACCATGACACCGCCCCCCCCAGCTGGTTGTTAAACGTTTACCAGCATACCTCTGGTTCTGAACCACCTAGCTGCTATTTCCTTCTAGATGATAATTAATTATAAGCTGGATAGAGGAGGGGAATGCTAGGGACCACATCTCTAAGCACAAGTCCTCCTTTAGCCCTGAATCTGTGACCTGGACCTGTGCGGCAATTTATTGACAGAACTGCCAGTTGACAACTGTTCCGACACCCTGCACTAGTTTAGGCCCCTCTAAGCCGGATTTGGGATCTCTTCTTGCCCAGGTACACAGCCTCTCTGCACTAGAGAACTCCCATGTACTCCTGGCCAGACCCAGTGCCCAAGTGTCTGCAGCTCTCTCTGCTTGTCTTTCTGTGCCTACTTGGGCTGGAAAAATGATTCATCATGGTGGGGTTTTTTTTCAGATTTTCCAATGATGATTTAGTCCGGTAAGTTTTTCTAGATGTGTTTGGAAGAGTGAGAAGTTCACATACTTCCTGGTTTTTGCATCTGGGGCCATCTCCTGTTATTCTTATCCACTGGGACCCAGACGGCTTTGGAGGAGAGTGAGGCTGGTGACTTTGCATAGTCCTCTCTCACTTGCATGTCATGGCATCACCTTCCTGATGTCATGATCCTCTTCAAGAACAAAGGTCAAACAACAACCTTGTCTGGGCCTCTAGAAGGAAGCAAGCTCTTGGTTACTTACCTCTCTTAGGGTTAGATACTCTTTTTGCTGTTGTTCAGTCCAGTCTGACTCTTCATGACCCTATTTGGAGTTTTCTTGACAAAAATGCTGGAGTGGTTTGCCATTTCCTTCTCCAGCTCATTTTACAGGTGAGGAAACTGAGGTAAACAGGCTGAAGTGACTTGCCCAGGATCACACAGCTAGTAAGTGTCTGAGACTGGATTTAAACTCAGGTCTTCCTGACTCTTGGCTGGGTGCTCTATCCACTGCACCATCTAGCTGCCCTAGAAGATACTCTTATGTGCTCCCAAAATCTTTAGAGTTTAGTACCTAAAAGAATTTGAGCCAGCTAAGGAGGCAAGGTTGTTGTCCTCTACCCTAGCAGGCCACATTCCTGTCTTTATTATGCATATCTGTCAGCAGAAAAGTCTGAATGCTTTGATGCAATATGTTGGCCTGAAAAAAGCCTCAAGTCTCTCTACCAACCTGCCCAAGTCTTCCACAAATTTCCCTTCAGGCTGGAACTCTTCTCTTACAATCCTTCCATAAGATAATCTTCACTGAGACCTGGTTCATGCCTACTGAAACTGCATCTTGGACCATCTTCTTTAGCGTTGACTATATCCACACTCACACTGTTCCACATGCTGGCCCTGGAGAGTGAATATTGTTGTTTCACCTTCATTTTCAAAGAGGACCAGTAACATCATGAGCTGATGTATTGACTTACACGAGAATTGGATTTAAGTGAGGCAAAGTTGCACAAAGTTGTCAGCCTCTTTCTTCCAAAGTCCAGTAGCAAGACAAAAGTCAGGATGATTGGTGAGGTCCAAGATGTAGTGGATGACCTTGACATCTTTAATGTCTGACCAAAATCTAAGCACTCCATACCACCCGTTTTAGCTGCCTTCATAGCTGTTGGTATAAATTATTCTCATCTGCCCATTCTTCAGGAGAGAAATGGGAAGTCTTCACATGCTTGGAGTAGACATCCCCTTAACTAACAACAGTTCTGAGGCCTGGAGAGTGAATACTCTACTGTGAATACCGTACTCTCATTCTATATTCTCCCTTTATCACCTTCATTTAGCAACCTGTTCTCCTTTGAAATTCACCCAAAATTTTCCACGTTGTACAATACACCCAGGATATTGTCCCTTTCTCAAGGTGCACATCCCCAGGTTCATTGTTTTCCTTTTTCTCCAACTCTTCCCATTGTGCTAGGAGACTTCATCATCCATATTCATGCTCCCTCAGATTTCCTAACCTCCCAGTTCTTTAGCCTCTTCAAATCCTGACCTACTCTACCTCAATCATACATAGAGACAATCACAACCTGGATCTCACCATTCTCCAAAAGCATTCCACTTCCTTAATCAAAAATTCTGACGTTCCTCTACCTGACCATAGCTTCCTATCATTCCATCTCTCCCTATTCCTCTTCCTCTCTCCTGAACCTATTCTTTGCTCTCATTTTGACCTCTAGTTCTTATATTACTCATTACTTTTTCTAACCTTTGTTCTGACTTCACTTTGCTTCCTTTCTAATCTTGAGCCTATAGTTCATAGGATCATAGATTTAGAGTTCAGGTGGCTTAGATGGCTCTCAAGATGTACCTCATCACTCAAGTTGTTGTTTGACCTTTGTCCTTGATTGGTGATGCCAATTAATGGAAATTTTTAAATCTGTAGGACGGGCAGGGAAGAATGAAGAATTTAGTTCATGCTGAGTTTGGTGAGACATCTGGGTGAAGATGTTCAACCAATGGATGGGTGGAAAAACAGACCTGATGCCCCATGGAGGAGGCAGGACTGAAGAGAATACTTAATTCTTGCCCTTATCTCTTGACATAAAACTGGAGTTTGCCCTGACCAGAATAGGAGCTCCCCAGGAATAGAGGACAAAAGTGTAGACTGGGACATGGAACAAAAAAGCTGAAGCTCAAGAAGGCAGGACCTCTGGACTGCAGAAAGAAGGCTCAGGGAGAAGTGGACATTGGTCCAGTAGCCCATAACCCATGAAGTTTCTCTGAGGTCTTCTGCCTCTTTTTGTATCCCAAGCGCTTTGCACAGTGTCTAGCATACAGAAGGTGCTCAACAAATGTTGATTAACTGATTGATTGAAATTCCCTTCTCCTCTAGAAACACGGCTCCTCCCTATGCCCCGCCCTCGCTCCCTCATTGGTCCTCTCGCCCCCATCCTTTTCCTTCATTGGTCTGTCTCCCTTCCCCGGCGCCTCACCCTTTCCTCTCATTGGCCTGCCTCCCTTCCTTTCCTTACCGCCCCATTCCTCCCGGTATTTAATCTTACTTAGCCTTCTTCAACCCTCCACTGGAGCCCTACTTTTTTCCTCATTATTCCGCCTCTCTCTTTTCCCTACCGCCCCATCCCTCCCCTTCCCTGGTCGTCTTCCTTCCCTGTCCCACCTTAATCCCTCATTGGTCCACCTCCTCTTTCCTTAGACCCCTCCCCACCCTTTCCCTCATTCATTGGTCCACTCCTCTCTTGGAGTCCCGCCCCTTCCTCTCATTGGCCTGCCTCCCTTCGGCTCCCGGCCAGCGCCACTCAGCAGCACTCCCTCGTCCTTAGGTCCCACCCTTTCGGTCCCCCAGACTCTCGGGTTGTATGAGAGTGTCGTCATGGTAACCACCTGCCTCTCAGAGGTCTCGCCATGGCCTGGAGAGATGCCTGGAGCTCTGCTGGCCCCGGCGCTCAGGTCGCTCAGCTGCAGGCCCCAGCGGTGAGAAAGGGGGCTGGGATGTGTGTGAATCAGAGGCTTACCTGAGGGACGGAGAGGTTGGGGTGGGGGAGAACACAGACCCCCAGAAGAAGGGGGGGGCGGAGAAGAGGACGTGGACCAGATGGGGGGAGAGAGAACTTGGGGTGTGGAAGGAGGGGGATAGGGGCTGGACCCGTGATTTCATTGGGATAGGGGACCAGGTGAGGAAATTCCCTCTACTAATGCAGTTCGGCACCCTCTCTGAAACCCAAAGTCTCAGAGAGTTGTCTAAGTGACTTGCCCAGGGTGACTGACATAGCAAGTATGTATCAGACTTCAACGCTCCTCTATGTCATGCTGCCAAATGGAGAGAGAGAAGGCAGAAATATGTTAGAGGGTGGAGAATGTGGCTTTGATCAGGACGGGAAGAATGAGCGATCTCACACACAGCCCCAAGGAGACTAAGTACTTAACCTTGTTCTGACGGAGAGGAAGAGGGTGACATGGGGTACAGGTACCACAGGTCTCTTATCCCCCTGTCTTGGCCTAGCCTGGTCTGAACTTGTGTCCCAACCCTTCAGCCTTCAGTAACTATCCTGCAGTCTCTCCCAGAGGCTTGGGTACCTCCTCATCAGCCAGGACACATGAAGGAAGGTGAGATTTCCAGACCTCCCTCATCTCTCTCATTTTCCAGCCACTCCTTCTGCCCTACTAATCAGCTCCCTGTCCCCATCTCTGGCTACTAATTTTGAATCTGCCTAGGGAAGAGGCTTTCAGGACCTCGCTGGGGTTAGGATTGTTGGTCACCCCCTTCTAATCAATTTCCCTAACTAGACCTACTGTCACTGATGATGCTACAGAACGTGCAAATGCACCAGCTGCTCATGAGTCGCCTGACAATGAGTGCCCTTGACTCCAAGCACCTGACTTCCCAGGTTTGTTGACCCTGGCAGGGGATGGTGCAAGGTTTCTGTTTTTTTTGGCCAGGGATCCTTGTAATAGAACTGTGTGGAGAGATACGATAGGGTGTCACCCCCAACTTAGACTTGGCATGCCCCTAGAATACCTGGTCACTCAGCAGTGTCTAGGGCAGTGGTCCCCAAAGCAGGTGCTGGAGCCTCCTAGGGACATTATGGCAGGACCCCAAGGACTATGTGATCAGCTAATCAGAGGGTGGGAATATGAATATTAATAATAATAATATGAATAACCAGTCTTCACACTATTTGTCTCCACCATAACCACACCCACCCTTATCTTCTAGTACTTTCACACTCTATCTGTCCTACTCTAGCTACTCCTAGCCTACCTCTTCTGAACCAGGTATTGTTTCCTGAGGGTAGTTATAATCAAACCCCACTGAGCACCACAGCAGCTATCTCTCCCTGCCTGGAGCAGCCCACCCCTCCCCATCAGTTCAGCTCAGAAGCTGTAGCAGGTGCACCTTGGAGGGTGGGTTCTCTTCCTCAAGTCAGTGGATGGGATAGAGTGAGTTGCCCATAATGAGCAAGCACAGATGTGTTGGGACAGGTCAAAGATCTCATTACATTTTCTTTAACCTCAAACTCAACTTTCTTCCACACTGACCTTACTGCTTTTGAAGATACTTCCATTCTTCTAGTCGCTCAGATTCACAATCATGATGTCATCCTTGACTCCTCACTACTTCCCCCTACATATTCAAGCAATTCTTCTCTCCACAACATCTCTCAAATCCATCCCCTTCTCTCCACTCACAGAGCCACCATCCTAGTTCATCAGGTTCTCATCACTTCTCATAGCTTCCAGCAGGTCTCTCTGTTTCAAGTTTCTTCTCTCCAATCCATCCTCCACACACAGCTGCCAAAGTGATTTTCTTGAAGTAAACATCAGATTATGTCACTCCCTTATCAATAAACTCTAGTGGTTCCCTATTAACTATGGTATCAAATATTATTTCATCTTTATTTCATTCTTTTTGATGTGTTTTATTATGTACATAATTCTTAAAACAGTAGCATATATAATTTATAAATAAGCAAATATACATATATTAAGGTTACATACTCCAAACATTTTTACTGATAGGAATGAGCAATCAAATCATTGGTCTAGGGATTCAGACCATTCCTTGAGCATTCTCCCCTGAAGAAGGCAGAGGAGGGAGAGAGATAAATAGTGGTAGTTATTCTCTATCCACCAGGACTGTACCTTATTTTCCTCTGCTGTTGGAGGAGGTTGGATTGGTTTAGATAGGACTTCACTTGAGAATAGGATGTCGGCAGGGGGACACAGAGAGGACTGGAGGCTAATGGTTGGAACTTTAAGGTCTTGGAGAGGAAAAGAGGGATGGGAGAGAAAAGGGAATGGAATTCCAAAGGGAATACCTTTGCTTGGTAGAAATCTGATTAAACATCCCTTCTTCCCTTCCTTCTCAGGTCAATATGCTGAGCCTGCAGGATGAAGGAGAGGAGGACGAGGAGGAGATACTAGTGTTTCACCACCATTACCTGCCCTGGCCAGCCCCAGCTCCAGTCCCCCTGCTTCCCTGTCCAGTGCAAGACCCACATCAGTCATGGCTCCCAGAAAGCTCAGAGTTTAGGAATCTCCCTCGAGACTCACAGATCATCCCATCTGCCAGGTGGTAGGGTATATGATTGACATTTGAAGGAAAGGGGGATGGATGATGCCATGAGGAGAAAGTGATGGAAAAGGTTTTTTGCTAGACAATCGGGTTTGGAAAGGTCATCTAGGGGTAGGGATTGGCAAGGACAGATTATGGTGTTGAACATGAAAGACATCCACTATTCCCTGACCATTCTTTGTCTTTCCTCTCCTTTAATCCAGGAGAGGAGTGCCCCCACCCCCACCTCCCAGTGCCACAGGGACAGTGGGTGCTGATGTACCACCTGCCTCAGGTAGGGCTCTACCCAACCTACTTTTCGACCATCCCCATGTGGCAAAGTTGGGAAAAGTCAGGACTGGGACCAAGAATGAGTAGAAGAAACACTTGACTTTAAGCTTCAGGGGAAGCATTTGTGGTCCACCAAACACAATCTTCCTCTCTTCAATATAGTTGTGCTTATTGCCTTGGTAAGATGGACTTCGTGCTGCAAGGGAGCTTGATTCCCTTGTAATCATGTGTTCCCTTCCACTCTTCCTAGCTGGCTGCCCACGCAGATCCCCTTCTCTACGCACGATCCAGCTTTTCTGACCTTTCTCTTTTTCCTGTACCAAGAGGGTTACTTTCTCCCTAGACTACTATGATGTGGCAGAGGGACAATTGTGACACTACCCCTGATGGACTGGCTTCTTTGGCTACAAGGTAGGAGAGTTACGTGTTCTACAACCTCCCATCTTGGGCAGCTACCGACGAGGCAACTTGTGGGGCCAAGAGCCTCACCCTCCACTTCTCCTTTTCCCCTAGCGCCATGTTTCTGGTTTGTCTCTGTCACCCCCCCTGCAGTCCTTAGACTCCCCAGCCCCAAAGTCTCTCCCAAAGTACCTCACTCACCTCCATATGGTACCTCTCCACGGGAGGAGGACCAGTGCTAAGAGTAATCCTGACTCCTGAGTCCAGTGTTTTAGGGAGCTGGGGTAGAAATAAAGAGCCAGGGAGCAGATATCAGGGTTCCCTCCTCTTCTCTCTCTGTTTTTCTCTCTGCCACATTACAGCTCCCATCTCCTCTCCACCCTCTCCAATCCTTCATATCTCCTGTGCAGTGCTAGCTTGCACTTCTTACCCCCGGTAGACTGGTTGATCCTACCGCTGCCCTTCCCTGTACGGTTCCTTTTCCACTATAGTATTCAGGGATGGGAGGGAGTTTAGAGATTATCTAGTCTAATCCTTGCACTTTTCAGATGAAGAAACTGAGGTCCAGAAGGGAGACCTGGCTTGTCCAAAGCTGCACAGGGAATAAATAGATCACATGAACCAATGTTCTCTGACTATGAAGGGAGACCTGGCTTGTCCAAAGCTGCACAGGGAATAAATAGATCACATGAACCAATGTTCTCTGACTATAAATTCAGTACTTTTTGCCTCTCTGTTTCATATTGTCTCCAATTTTGGGGGAATGTTGTGGAAAGGACTGGAACTGATTTAGCATGGAATGTGGGAAGGGAGTGGAGACTTGTTATCAGGTAAATGCTGATATTGATCAGGTCTCAAGAGTAACTTGGAAAAGAGTGATATGGGTCACAGAGGGCTAGAGAAGAGGCATTACAAGACTTAGGACTGAGGATGGTAGAAAGCCTAGAATTTTGCCTTCTTCCCTCTCTTTATCCTAATTTTCAAGGCCCATTTTAGGAAAGCAGAGGGTAAGATCAAATCCCAGAGGAAATTGCTGCAGCCAGACCTTGCTGTGGCAGGATTTTTGCCTGGGACATCTCTCTGACCCCTGATGAAGAGAGATGGGGCAGGGGAGGAGAAGATTAAGAGCATAGATACACTTTTGCTGGCTCACCTGTCCCTCCAGGGGCATCTTCATCCTGACTCTTGCTGATGCGAGGCTCTTAAAGGCTTCCCTCTGCCTTCCTTTATTCCCTCTGCCCCAGAAGAATCCGCAAGGACAACGTGGCCACGAGAAGTAACTAGTGGCCCTGAGGGTGGAGTTGTGGAGAGGGAGAATCAAGGAGGGGGGAATGGTGGGAGGGTCTGGTTTGGGCAACTAAAGAGAGGAGAGTTAAATCCTGTAAGTGTGTTTCTGTCCTCTGCTTAGATTTTGATTTCTAAACAAAACAATTAAGACGTCAAGACTTGGAGTTTGGATTAAGGCCAACAGAGTATCTTTTCCCAAGGCCCTTCTGGGAAAGATGGACCATTCCCATCACACAGACACACACTGACACACACACCCACACCCTTTTGTTTCTCACCACTCACTAAGCTATGTGGGGCTTATGGATGACCCATGACAGCAAAGGCATCCCCCACCCCTCGGGTCCTTGTAGTCATTCTGGATCATAAGCCTCTGATTCTGTAGTTCCTCCAGGCAGCAAGTACCCCGTATCCCCCTGTTCGGTGTTGACGCCAGTGTTGCCCATAAGCAAAACACAGGCAGACTGAGATCACAAACACCAGCAGCAGCAGAATCGTGATGATGATGGTGACGAGCATCTGGTTGTTCCAGGAGGGTTCTGGAAAGGGAAAGGAGCAGTGTGAGAGCACCATCCCCTCCCAGGTCAGCCTGGGTTGAGCAGAACCGTGGGTCCTGGAGGGTGCTGATTTCCTAGGACACCAAAGGCTGGCTCCCAGGAGGCTTAACTTTTACTCAACTGGTGAAGCCTTAGCGCTTTGTTCTAGGTACTGGCAAGCATCTGATGGCCTTTTGCTACAAAGAGATACAGTGATAACAAAGAATCTTTGCTGATCTAACTTGTAGTCTGGAAACCATTCTAGCCCTGAGCATCATGCCAAAGGGTCAGGCTTGTCAGGTTCTCACCACAGGACCCTGCAGCCTGAATGGTGAAGCTTACTTAGGCTGCATTTGCCCCTCCTAGGGAGAGTGCAGTTTGGTTTTTGGCTTCCCAAAGGCTTCCCTGATTGGGCACCTAAGGCTTTCACCTCCAGCTGCTCACAGTCCTTGGTCTCCAAGATTCTAGGACAAGGTGGGCAAAGAGCTAGAGATCATGGGATTTGTATGGGGGAAAAGGAAGTAGGAAAGATGTTGAAAGGAAGAAGGAGCCCTGTGAGCAGGGTTGAGAGAGTCATAGATTAGCTGCCAGCATTGTCAAGGAGCAGCCTCCTGGTAAAAGCTGAGAGCAGAGCTTAGAGTGCTTCTACAGCTCCAAAGGAGGAAGCAGAAAAAACAGACTCATAACTAGTTTCCCCCGGGGTCCTGCCAGACGCACCAAATATCTCAAGCATCTTGGGCTCTGAGGTAGCAGAGAAGAGCTGCTCCCGATGTGGCCTGAGGTCCAGCTCTGCATGGCAAGAGAAGTTGCTCTTACTATCTTCCCTTCGAGCTGTGACGTTGAGGGTGAGCCAGGCATCCTGCAGAGCCGTAGGCACAGTCACAAAGGTCTGGCGGTATAGCTTTTCGGTGCCTTGGAGCAGAGTGAGGGTGAGGTTCTCCAGCGGGACCACATTAGGCACATGGCATGTCAAGGTGAAATTCTTACCCACAATTACCCAGGAAGGCTGCAGGCTCAATGTCACCTGCTGTGGTGGGCCTTAGGGGACAAAAAAAAAAGTAACAACCTTGTGATTTAGAAATATTATAACAAACTGAAAAGACCCCAGTTTAAGTTCTACATCCCACCATTTTCCCCACCCCAACAATTAAACTACCCATATGGAACATTTACTTGTTGTACAGCTTGTATTTGTCATCTTGAGTGGGTTAGAGAGGGATGCTAGACAGGGAATGTGGAGGGGGAAGCCCACACTGCTGGGCTGAGATTGGGGGAGGGGCCAGATCTTGTCCACTCACGGTATACGATGACACTGACAGACTTCCTTTTTTGAATATCAGAGCAGATGAAGTAACAAAAGATGTTGGTATTCTCGGAGAAATTTGATAAGTGAAACGCCTTCCAGTGAGTCCCTTCCCTCATTGTGGTCATTTTTATGTTACGAGTCTCAATGCCTCCTCCTTGAGGGGATGTACAGTTGGTGCTACAGTTGATCCACAGGTCCTTGCCAGCCTCGACCACAGGCCACTCAGGCCACATTCTCACCTCAAATAGCTCCTCACCTGCTACTGGAAGAAGCAACAGCAAATACCGCATTTCAGGAGTATGCACGCATGCCTGTGTGCTTGTGTGTGTGTGCATGAAGTGGGACGTACTCTTGTACTCTGCCGATGTGAGGACATTGGCAGGGGTGGCTTAGGGAGACATATCATAGATTTTCTGGATTTAGGGTCAGGGCAATTGATTATTAATTAACAATTATTAATAAAATAAAGATAGCTAACATATAGGGCTTTAAGGTTTGCAAAGCACTTGACATAAGTATCTCATTTGATCCTCATAACAATCCTGTGAGGTAGGTATTACAAATATTATTAATGCCATTTTACAGAAAGGTAAATTGATACTAGAGAGGTTAAGTGTCTTGTATATGATTTCATAGCTAGTGTGAAAGTTAGAAGTTAAACCTAGACCTCTCGGCTCTAAGTCCAGCATTTTCCCCACTACATCATATGTTGGCCTCTGCCCAATACCATTCACATCCAGTCCATTTTATTTCCATCACTCAGTCCCTCATTACTTTTCCTCTTAGCCAATCAACAAATGAGGATGCCAAGACCCAGAATGGTGGTGTCTTAACTAAAGTCACATAAGGAGTAAGTGGGAAAACTAGGATTTGAACTCGGATCCTCTTGACCCCCAGGTTCCCTACTTTTTAAATTTTTTAAACTATATTACCCTGTTTCCTTGTCTTCCTAATTGGTCTCACCTCAACCTTCCTCTTCAGATCCATTCTCCATATTTATGCCAGATTAATCTTAAAACACAACTAGAGTCATGTTGTCCCCTACTGAATGAAGTCTGACCTCTCTAGCATGGCATTGAAGATTATCTACAATATTGAGCTAAACTACCTCTATTATTTTATCTCCAGTTACTCCTTTGAATGTACCTACCTTATGTACCCAAACTAGGCTATTCTCTGTCCCACCCTCCCCACCACCACCACACCTATGCTCAAGAGTTAAACCTCTTTGAAATGTCCTCTATCAAAATCCTCCCCCTTCACCTTCAAGATCTAGTTCTGGTGCTTCCTCCTTCATGATGCCTTCCCTGATCTTCCTGTAGACTATAATCACTAATAAGACACATAATCTTTCCTAGGGCTTGAATTGTACTGTCACCCACTCTGTGTTCACCCGTTCACTAACCAAAACCCCCTTTCCCTAGGAGCACAATCAAATATTGGTACTTTTAGAAGCCTCTACTGAACAGCCACTCCCTCCTTGTATGGGAATAGGATGAAGTCTTACTCTCATCTTCATATTTGAGAAGCACCTCTTAGTTATACAAACTTTTTCTTGGAAGTTGTCTGAACCATGAAGGGCAGTGGGCGGGGGGGGGAGCGGGGAGGTGGTAGAAGGAAACCTGTCAAATGGGACCTAAATCATTTCCTTGAGTAATATAGAACTTTCAAGAGGGGTGGGGTGAGGAGAAACACTGAGGTTCTAGAAATCTTACCCATAAAACAGAAAGGGATTGGAGAATAGATTGAAATGCAGAATTCAATAATATATTATTTATAAGAAATAAACTTAAAACCTAGAGTCACACAGAGTTAAAATGATGGGCTCTGGTGAAATTTGTCACGCTTCAGATGAATTAAAAAAAAACAAGGGTAGCATTCGTGATCTTAGACAAGGCCACAGTAAAAGACATGGTTACAAAAGATAGGGAATTTACATTATCCTTAAAAGCACCATAGATAATGACATATCCATATTGAATAAATCCACCAAATTGCATAGCATCTAAATACTTAAAGGAAAAGTTAATTGAACTAGAGAAACAGACATCAAGACTGTAATAGTTGAGGACCTTAATATATCTCTTTCAGAACCAGACATTCTAACTCGATAAATATGAAAGAAGGAAAAAACCATAAAGGTAAAGACATTTTAAAAAATTAAATATGATTGATTTCTGGCAGCTAATAAATAGAATAAGAAAGGCATATACATATTTCTCAACATATTTCTCACCTGTGTATGGCACCTTTACAAAAAGTTACTGTATCAGAATATACAAACTTCATAAACAAGTACAAGAAAGCAGAAATATTAGATACATCCTTTATTGACCACAATGCAATAAAATTATAATTAGTAGAGAGGCTTTGAAGAAAAGAGTCAAACCTAAAAGAAAATTAATGTAATTGTAAAGAATTGGTGGGCCAAAGAACAAATCATAGAAACAATAGATAATTTCATCAAAGATAATGACAATGAGACAAAATACTAAAATTGTTGGAATGTAGTCAAAGCAGTCCTTGCAGGGAAAGTTATATCTCTAAGCTTTCATCAATAAAAGAGAA